AAAAGCTTCCTAAAACTCTCATTAGGGAATTCTATGAGAGAAGAAAACTATCACTAGATAAGTTTAAGAGAGAGAAAACTCTCACTAAAAAATTTTAAAAGAGACTTTATTCACATAAATGAAAAGAAACATGAGAGGCTCTTCTTATAGGCAAAGATCAGAAAAATCAATCTTTCTTTCATGCGAGAGTCCGAAGACTTTCTTGTTAGAGAGTTTTTAAGAAAGAGGGAAGAGAGCTTCTTACAAAGGAGGAAGAGAGTATGTACATGGTATTAGATATTAACTTAATTATTAGCATAGACAAAATCGATTAACCACAACCAATCTCGATATTTTGGTTAACCGCAAATAGATTTTTATGCTTTTATACCAAATAGGAAAATTGACAAAATCGATTAATTGATTATTTAAATCAATTTTTTATTTCAATTCAATTCGACTTCAATTTAGTGAATGTAAATTTGATTTCAATGTTCACTCTTTCTTCTCTCTAGAATTTATTTTCTCTTCCTTCTCTTTAAAATTCCTCCAATTAAAACCTCATTTGACCCTCCCATGGAGAGAGACTAGATAATCTAATCTTTCTCTAAGAGGGGACCCTTTCCATTTATTTGTTTAAATTCTCTCTCGGGGTTTTTAGTGAGAGATCGTTCTCTTATAGGATGAGAGATTATCTAGGGAGAGCTTTATTCTCTCCAAGGATTCTTTGTTAGGGGTGATCAAAAGAACTGCGAGAGTAGGTAATCGAGAAAACTAAATTGGTCCAAACCAAAAAACTGGGTAATGATTCCGTAGTTTTCAAAATGGTTAAGTTGCCCGAACCTACTTGAAAATTTAGGTTAGGGTATGATTTTCAATTTTCAAAAATTACGATTACCCGAACCTACCCATATATATGTAAGGTTGGTTAAGATAACTAGTAACTAGACCCCAACTCATAATTAGTTAGTTATTCATTAATAATTTAAGTTACGAGACCCATGCTATTATATATTTTATTTTTCACAACTTACAAACTTGTATATTTAACCTTATCTTCAATTTGCTTTTTTCATTTCCTACATTCATTGCAAATAATTTCATTTACTCTATTACTCTATTTTTTTGTCTTTCTTCAAAATTTCTTTTCCTGTCTCATAAATTTTATCAACTTCACCGCTGTACTTTTTTTGTTTTTAAGTTTTAGAGATTACATGTTTGGTTGTGAAATAACTTGTCATCCTTAATAAAAAGTGAACTAACAGTTTTCAAAAAGTAGGGAAAATGAAAATAAATGTTCAGAATATTTTGTGTTTTAATTATCTATTGTGTTTTGATTTTCTATTTTGTTGGTGATTTTTTTTTAGATTTGTAAGATTAAACACTGTTATTAATTTGGATAATTGTTGTATTGTCTTTTTAGTTAATCTAATTCCATTTTTTTCACAAGTACAAGATAGTTAGATTACCACATATATTTATGTATATATATATATATATATATATATATATATATATATATATATATATATATATATATATATATATCCAATCCTATCCTATAGGTTAATCGGAATTAGCTGTTAGGCGATTGAATAGGGTTAAGGTATGGAATGCAATTTTGCTGAACCTGTATTTGTTGTTAGGGTCAGCGAAATTGCAAGTAGACTGGTTGCCCAATCTGTGAACACTCCTAATCTTTGTGAGAGTGTTTTTTGTTTTCTTGTCCTTTTTTAGTAGATGAGATTAGAGATTTGGTAGATTTCAGAAGTCAAAACTGGAACTCAAATTCTCTTGAAGCAGTTTTTATCAACTCTGACTATTGAAAGCCGTGCACATAGATTTATTGGCTTGCAGTGATAGAATTTGGTGTATTTACGCCAAATTTGAAAATTGAAAAAATTTATCAATAATCTAAATTGATCTTAATTCAATTCGATTTTCAATTTAGTGAATTAAAATTTAAATTCGATCTTTGTAAATCGATTCTAATTGATTGTATTTAATGGATTAGCCGATAGATTTCACCCTTAAACACAATAACATAATTGCTATGGGAATATCACAAAAAAGATAAAGGAAAAGGCAAGCTGAGCCTTTTACCACAATTAATAGTTATTTTCACCTATAATGTTTGAGCCTAGTATATAAATATGGATTAATTTTTGCTACATTGACAATGCATACACTGTTAACGTTGGATGGATAATAACTATATATGTAACATTTGAATTTGAAATTCAACTTTTATACATATGTCATGAATTCAACGGTGATAGTGTATACATTATTAGTGTATATAAGATTTACTCTATAAATATTCGTATTACTCTTCTGTTTCATGCTTGTACACATGATTGAAAAATAATTTCATATTCTGTGCATTTCAAAAATATTTGAAAAATTCTCATAATTTTTAACTAATTTTATGAAACACGTAATAAAATTTTGATGTACTATACTTCACGAATCATACTTCAATTTTTGAAAGAATTTTAATATTTGAGTAAGGATCACGGCATACCTTCCAAATTATATACAATATAGCAACGATATATATCATGATTGTGAGAGATTTATGCATCTGAAAGTAATGAAGTGATGAAATTGTGATAAATGTAATATGTCTGGCTCCTAAATCCTTCCTTTTTGCTTGGTGATTCGGGTTTTGATTGAGGAACGGGGCTTGGTGTAAAAGTTAAAATTGGTTAGAATATATTACAATCTTTGAAAAGTATAATAATTTTATCCATCTTTTCAGTTTCATAATTTTTATTTATATTCGTGTATATTAGTATTATTCATATATAAGTTTAATTATATGCATAATTTTGTCAAACTCGTATTTTTATGCTAAATTATTAAATCTATTATTGGAAAAAATAGTATAATATACATACGTGTAATATCTCGTATCGTACCCGTCCCATATTTTACCAACAGCTGTAAGTTGGAAATAAAGAAGTATACAAAGAACTTATATTTTGGTTAAGGAAGAAAGTACAGAAAGAAGTAAAAAATTCAGTTCCCAAGCCTTAGGCATCCTTGTGGATGAGGAATGGAATTTCCTCAGTGCAACTGAGCACTAGATGCACAGTCTTTTTGAGCCTTTGCTCGCATTTGTAATTTCCTCGTTACAATGAATGAAATGATTCTACCGTTTCGAAAAAAAAAAAATTCTACTCTAGAATGAAATGATTCTACCGTTTCGAAAAAAAAAAATTCTACTCTAGAATAGAGGGCGTGACAGAAGCAATTATAAGTTTTCTTTATTTCATCTTTTTGATGCCACACCACCCATATCAGGTGGCAAATTAAGTAATTATAAGTTAACTATTCTCACAAATCTAATTAAAAAAATTGATGATGTATATCTTGGTCAAGAAAGTAAAACTGGGAGAAATTTCAATCTCTTTCTTTTGGTCAGAGAAGATGCTTTAATTGTGTCTATGATCTAAAAATAGGCAACTATACAGTTTTATAGGCACAAATGAATTAGGTTTGAATTTCAAAGTTCTTCTAGATTATCTCTAGCAAGAATTAGAGATGATAACCATATATATCCACCTCCTAATAAAGAGATTCTTCTACCCAAGCCATCAGCTGGAGAAAATCATTAGGTGCTGGATATATATAACAAAAGGTCCTGGGGCTCTTACTCCTGCAACAAGCACATAATAAGCTTTGATTACTTGCTAGGTTCCCCAAGCTAATTAAGTCCCTCCAGTGCATTGACCAGTGCTTACCCCCTCACACACAACAAGGTATAAAGGATAAACAACCGTAGAGTTTTCACTTCTCAAGAAAGCCGAAGACCTACGTCAATCACTTCGTTTGTTTGTCATTTGTCAATAGATTTGTTGAAATGGACAAGTTTCAACAAATTGTAATTATAGTCCCTTGTTTGTTTGGTTTAGACTCAGTCTCGTACCTTACTTATATGTTACTTTTAACACCTATGGTCCTTTATGTTTCGACTGTTTCTTAATCCAATCCAATACATTGAACTTTGACAAATTGTACCTACTATATATATCAAGAAAATCTTATATACATATATTGACATTATATACACTATCACTGTTAAATCCATGATACACGTGTAAAAGTTGAAATTCAAATTCAAATTTTATATAGTTGTCATTTATCCAAAATTGACAGTGTATACATTGTCATGTAAAAAAGATTAATTCATATACATTTGTATGCTCAAATGCTTTAAGGATGAAAGCATGAATTCCATTAGCATAAGTTACTAATTCATTGAAATTAAAGATGAGAAACTACCAATTAATTGTATGTTATGATGCACATGCATTTGTGGAAGATACAAATATGTCCTATAGTTGTATTTTATAAAGATTTGATGGACAAATACATTAAAGATTATACTTCTTACGATATATTATGCAGACAAACAAAGCTATCCTTGCAACAAGGTAATACAATGTATATTTTACATGAGAAGGTAATGCAAGTAAAATAACAATTATACATACTTACACACACAACAATCACACCTAATTCTTTCTCCTCATTTATTGCATGGTAATTCTGTAACTTTTCATTTAGGAACTTTATGCTTTAGTTACCAGATTGAATTTCTTAAGGACTTTTTCGTTAGAGATGATATGTATAATTACTTTAAAGATATTAAGTGAAACAAAACAAAGTAATGAACTAAATCGTAAATAACAAAAACTACAAGGGACCAAATTTACAATTCTTCCTTTTGAACATGACTTTCTTCCTAAGAAGCAAAGAATCTCTTTCACATTTCTGTTTTTTTCCCAACAGCCTCATTTATAAGAAACGGTAGATGTTGATGCAAGCAAGAAAGCTAGCAAGATGATTACTTTTTTTTTTTTTTTTTTTGTCTTCGTTAATTAATATCTCGCCATCTCCGCCACACCAACTCTTCTGTAGTCTACCCCTTAAAGCCTCCCAACACCCCCCCACCCCCCCTCTTTTCCCCCACTCAAACTTGTATATATAGTTACATATATATAAGTGTGGCCTTGGGTAAATAAGAAGGTGTCTTTTTCTTGGAAAGTCTTCTTCTTCATCAACTCTTTTTTCTGCACATATCCCTCAACAGTACTGCTCACACATCACACACACACGCACACACACTGAACATTATGTGTGATTAGACAGGCATATATATACATATATAGCAGAAAAACGTTCCAATTATATTGGAATAATGGGATTTCTGAAAGATGAAGGCGTGGTTTACAAGCCCGTTGACAGTGTTGATCTTGGCCCTGACAGCAAGGAAGTTTATCTCCGAGCCAATGTTAAAGGTATGCATGAAACATTGAAACCACTTACACTCCATAAACTGTGTGTGTTTGTGTGTGTGCCCGTGAGTGTGTTGTGCTGTGTTTTTTTTTTTTAATAAAAAAACTCTGTATTTATAATGTTTTTGGGATGTAATTATGACAAATTAAAGAACTGATGAAGGATTTGGTATCTGATTGCTCTTGATTGATGATAAAGATTGATCAAGATAGATGGAATTGACTAGTATGCATGCACGTGCATTGCAAAGGATTGCATTTTCTTTCCTTTAATATAATATGAAATTATGAACTGTGTGGTCTAATGTGAAAAATCCTATAAATGTTAGGGGCAAATTTTTATTTGTAAAAGTATCTCTTTGAAAATTTTCAAGTTTATAAGGGACAAACTAGAATTTTCCTCTTCCTGTCCTCCCTCCCTAACTTTTTCCGTGGTTTTGGCTGATAATGGGATTAATTATCAAAATTTCCACCTTACGTTGAAATCTGTTCTATTCTTTTTATTTTTATTTTTTTGAAAAAAGTCAGTTCTATTTATATAATTATATTGCTGATATATATGGTAATCCCTCAAGCTAATCAAGTGCTAGAAGCAAGTACAATGTTGGGTGGTCCCTTTTTCCAGAGGAGGCTGGCGGCTCAAATGATGGAGCCTCATGACCAAGTTACAACTGGAAAGGAATTAGTTTACCATTTTATTTTTTGTCCAAAATTTGCTGGTTTTTTTTCTAGGAAAAGAAAAAAGAGAAAACCCTTAATTAAAACCAAGCCATTGTGTATCTCAATCCCTTTTTTTTTTTTTGGCTTCAAATTGTAACATCAGAATTTAGAAGATGAACTTTGAAGGTGTAGAATAGACTACCATAGGGATATTCAGATTTTGGTTAGGCCAAGAATTGATGTCCGATTGAAAAGAATACGTGTCAATTTTGGCACGTTCTACATTTTTCAATACAATGTCAAAAAGGCATTTGGTATTATAAGTCATTGACTAACATTTTCATACACTGTTTACAACAGCTAATTTGTTTTGTTTAGTCTCCAATTTGAAATAAGAACTTAGTTTTTTTTTCTGTATTTTTTTTGGGGAAATAAGTTCTCAATTATTCATCTGCAATGTAATCGAGTTCAAACTTCTTCTTCTTTTTTTTTTTTTTGTTTAATTAATTGTCACCTACTCTAATAGCGTTCAATTGACTCAAGTCTTTTTGCCAAAGGCCTTGTACCTTACTTCTGATTGACTTTGTATCATTATTGTGTAGCACCTCGAATGGCTGGCTTTCTAGTTAAAGTTTTTGCTTGGCTCTTGGAGTCGAGAATTTTTGGAGCTCTTATGTTATACATCCTCAAGAAAAACAATCTGATTCATAAGGTATCACTTCTTTTCTTGATTGGTTTTAGTAGCTAGCTCAAGTATATAAAAGTGTTAATCTACTGACAAAAAATATTTTGTTGACTGACAAAATAGTAATTAAGTTGACTGAATGGCTAATCTTTCTGAATCTCTCTTTGGAACTTCCTTCTAAGTTTTGTCAAGCAGATTATATTAGACAATTTCCAACAATCTCATTAATAAAATTCTTTATTTTTTTATCAAATAAAATTAATTTTTACTGTGTTTTACAATAAATTATGCCGGTCCTTAAAATTTTAAAGTACATTTTAACTCATTAATTCTTAACTTTAGAAGTCGGCCAATTTACAGTGGACAGAATATCATTTTGGTCCATTAAAGTGGACAAAACCTGAAGTGAGAAAACTTTAATTTAAAGAAAAGCATATCCAGATACTTAATATTCTTTTTTTTTTCATTATAGTTAATTACTTTGAAGGCTTTATTGCACCTTCCCCCCCTATAATTATGGGTGAGTTGCAGTTTACCCCGTTTGAGTCCGCGAAATATACAAACTACTCCTGATGACTAAACGCTTCTAGACATTTAACGGTCCAAATGCTTCATTAATGTGTTGGACAAATGTGTCTTTGCCTTATTTGTTTTTCTATTAAGTCTCACTTTCGTTTTCCTTTTCTCCTTTTTTCCTTTTTTTTAAACCTTTTTCCTCTTCATTTTCTAATGCCACTAATGCCTTTTGTTTTGTCCTAATATGCATATAATTTTTTGACTTGCTGTAGCTTACCCTCTCATTCTTACTGTAGCTTGTGCCATATCTATTTTGTATACATCACCAGCTTTTTTTCTTGTTGAAAACATAATTACTAATTTATTGGGATGCATTAATTGTTAATAAAATATAGAAATTGCATAAAGTAACTTTTCTAGTTTATAATAAAAAAAATAATTGATTGGTCATAACATAGAAATTTGATAAAATATAGGGTTAACCACAAAAACTCCCCCTAAGGTATACCACTTTTGCACTTTAACCCCTAACATTATTTTTTCTCACTTTATGTCCTAAACCGTTAGTCAATTCTAACATTGTGTAATGGTAATGTCAAAAAGACATTCATACCCCTAACAGCTAACTATGGTAAATTTCCTTAAAGTATAGTTTGTTTTGTGCTGTATCCCATAACATCATTTTTTTTTATCAATTTGTTTATTTATTATAAAAATCATTAATGAACTCCAATATTTGATAACACCCAGACCTAATAATAAAAAATAAAAAAGCAAAAAAAATAATAAATAATAATAATTTATATATATATGGTTCTAGTTAAATTTCATTTCGTAATTACACCTTTTTTTTAGATTGAGGAGAATATCTTGCTAATTTGATTCAATAGTGGGAAAAAGCAAACAAAAAATATTATTAAAAAATTAATATTTGAAAAATATTTTTAAAAATCTAAAAATGATTGGAATATTGTCAGTTTCTCTTTAGAAATGTGTATATAACTAAAATTTTCTTTTAATAGCTATAGTTTTTTTTTATATAAAAGTATACATTTTTTTACTGATAATACTAAAAAAGAGAAACATGGTTGATTTGGAGTTCAAAATTTTCAGAGTTTTTCCTTTAATATACCATGCTTAGATGCTATTAAAATTTATTTGAATTGCTAAATTTTTCTAAAAAACTTTTTTATCACATGTATGTTGAGTGGCTCAAAATATTAGAGTTAACTAATGGTTTTAGAGATGAATAGACAAATTGAAAGAAAAATGATATTAGCGAAGAAAATATAAAATAGCTATACTTTAAAGGGGATTTACTATAATTAACCCTTAGGGGTATCAACATCTTTTTGCATTTCTGATATGCAATGTTAGAGTTGACGAACGGTTTAGTAGATAAAGTGAAAAAAATATAACGTTAGGGGATAAGGTGCAAAACTGGTTATACCTTAAGGGGGAGTTTTTATAATTAATCCTAAAATATTTTTACTTCATACGTATATTTAATTTCTTCTACTTGTGATAATTAAATATTGTAACAAGAAAAATAAAAATATACATAAATCATGAAAAAGAAGAAAGAAAGAAGGAAAAATAAGGAAAAATTTCAAGTGAAATATACTACTGAATATTTAATTTCTATTTGTTTTAACAATTAACCCATAATAGGAATTACTTCTATAAATGGGCGTTACTCTTTCATTTCTCATGATGAGTTATCATGATTAACTATTTTTCAGATGAAAATAAGAGCATTTAATTAAGTTTGAAAAGAAAATCTTTATAGGGATAAAGAAGAATGGAAGAAGAAAAATGAAAGTATTTGGTGCCACTAGGGTAAACTTGGTTAAGAATTAAGTATCATAGGGTATGATTATCTTTTCGCAATCCCCGTACAATGAAAATAAAGTTACATTTTTATTTGTTGGTCATCATGGATAATATGTAATATGTAATTAAGCATATTCTGAATGTTTTCTCTGCAAAATCAATACTGATAGATGCATTGCAAAATTCTCTTTAATTTGGCCAACTTTTTTTTTTATTATTATTTGGAAGCAATCTATTAGCTTAAGAAAGTAAGGTAATTGTCATTGCACTGGAAACTTTTATTTGTGAAGGATATGTCAAGAAAGTGAATAATTATTTGGGCATTGTAAAACCAAAACTCTTGATATGTATGGATTATACACTGAAAAGTGGAAATACTAACTACACACAAGCTGTCTTATTTGTTTAAGGCACAGTGAAAATTCTTGGTTTTCTTGTCTTCTTTTGAATACCCCATTATTTCGAATATATTTGATTTTACCTTAAATACATTCCAATCATCAGTTACTATTTTAAGTTCAATTTATTTCACATACATCATAGTTCATCTCACAACAATGCTACACAATTAGTTTAAAATATTTTTCCAGAGAATATTGGATCCAAACAAATATTAAATCATTTCGTATTCTTTTCTCATTGTTGGAGATTTCACACCCCTTTCTTTTCTTTTGTAAGTTTGTCAAAATATCTTGCATCACTTTAAACTTTTGAGTAGAAGCATCAGTAAATATAGCCTTATACTAAAAGACTTCTTGTTGCATTGTGGTCCTTTTAGTTAGCTAACACAGGCCAGTATTTTGCAGCTAGTTTCATTTGCGGAGTTGCAAGAATCACCTCTTTTTGTGCCATTGCACCCTCATGAAGGTTGGTACTTACATGCATTTTACTTTGCATTGGAATTAGTCCTTTAAGATAGAAGAAATGTATATGTCAAGAAATACTGAAAGTGATATGCAATGGTTCCATTGCCCGTTAGTATTTAGTCTGGTTTTGTTACTTTCGTGTCTATCACAAGTGACAAAATTAGGGGGAATAAGGAGTATGTATACCTGTACACATAGAAACCCTGAAAAGCTCTTTTTTGTATCCTCTAATCATTCCAATTTTCGTGGTCACAGTTATTTGTTTGAAAGGATGTGTACTTTTCACATTAAACTGAAAGAAGCTGTATGCTTGACTCTGAATGCAAACTTTTCTGGCAGGGCATGGTGAAGAAGAAAAATGCACCAAGCCTGATCATCTTTCTCCTGTGGAACAAGTTCAATTGGCTACTGATTGTCTTCAAACTTCAGAGGAAATGAATAAAATTAATCCAAAACTTAGTTTTCAACGCTGGACAATACTGGATTATTCAAGAAGATATATGTCTCAAGAAGTAACTCCTGTCATGGTATTATTGGATCATCCTTTTCACAACTGTCAATATGAATTTCTTGTATAGTCAGTCAGAAAAACAAATCTCAAGTCCATTTTCTCTGTCTCTAATTTTACTCCAGCATTCTTCTTAATTGTCATCATGTATATAATACTCATCCGTTCAATTCTAGGTAATTCATTGTTTCTTTCTTTCAGGTAGCAAAGAAGTTTATAGCAGCTGTGAATGAATCATCCAAGCCTTTACGACCTATGTCATTCTTTATTGATTTCAATCCTGAAGATATATTACAACAAGCTACCGAATCAACTCATCGGTATGAACGAGGTATGCATTCTTGTCTGTATTCGAAAGGTGAACATGGTTTATTGCCACATATTGCAATGTCTTGATGTCTTCAGAGTTTCAAGGATTGCAGATTTTTATGCAGTAGGAAAATTGACTGGCTGGAATCCAGAAAAGATGTTTCTGTCCATTGTTAATTAATATCAGGATTATATCAAAGTTCTTGTACTGTAACTGTGTAGTTCAATTTTTATTTTCTTGACAAAATTGTTCGCCTTTACAGAAATTTCAGTTATACAAGTAAGCACTGCCACAGACTTATGCCCCGAAGTTTAAAAATTAACAATTTTGTTCTAATCAAACTTTTTCTGTTTCAACACCTTATGCTTTCACTGCATTTTTGTTTTGGCAATAATTTTCATCATAGCAGAAGCCCCTTTGGATGAGCAGCTAAATATATATTCTGATTGAGTCTTTCACTAATGAAATCTGGTATAACTGGTTAGAATTGTCAGGCAAATTTCCTTATGATACTAATTTCAAACTACAATATCATTTGGTGATTATACAGGTTATCGGATCCTTCATTTCTGCAGAAAAATTGAGCATAAGAAGCTTTGTTACATACTCTTACTGTTCATGATTTGTAAAACTGGTTCATTGATTTGAATGTATGAGTACTGAAACAAAGTCCTGTCTTTGAATTTTTGGTAAATTTTACCTTTTTATTGCGAGTAACTTCTGTTTCAGGTGAGCCAATATCTGTTCTAGATGGAGTTCTGATTGCCATTAAAGATGAAATAGATTGTCTACCATATCCAACCACAGGTTTGTCTTGTCTCCGCATCTGACTTTTAACCATTAGAGAAATGTTATAAACTTTATTCCTGAAAATTATGATTGAATGAGCATTACTCAAGCTTTGATTTCATTGACAAAATGGCCCTTATAGGAGGTACAAAGTGGCTGCACAAAGTAAGACCGTGCATTGAAGATGCCTGCTGTGTTAAACGCCTAAGGTCATGTGGTGCCATTCTGGTCGGGAAAACAAACATGCATGAGCTTGGAGCTGGAACCAGTGGGATAAATCCTCATTATGGGTAAGTACAAAATCCCATATTTCACTCATTATAGAAATCTGGCTTTACTTGTTTTAGTTGTTACCTTGAATCAATATTGATTTTCTTGATTGATAAAAATAGTCTTCCTTTTTTCCTTTTTGAAATTAGGAAATTTGCTGATTTTGTATGATTGATATAGGACAACACGAAATCCATATGACAGCAGCAGAATTGCTGGTGGTTCTTCTAGTGGATCTGCTGCTGTGGTATGTGCAGGACTATGCCCTGTTGCTCTTGGTGTTGATGGAGGAGGTAAAACTTGATCATGTTCTACTTCTCTTTTTTCTTACTAAAAATTACTATAGGTATCCACAATTTTAACAATCCAACTGCCTGAAAGATTTGAAATAAGACGCCATTAGATATTAGCCATGTCTAATCAAATTTAAGCAGCAACTATCTACTCGGCTCTTACTAGTTTTTACGATGCTAAGTTGTCCTACTTGTAGCTTGGCGCACTTCTTAAGATAGAAAATTTTGTAAAAATGAAAGATCCCAACAAAGGCATGGTCAATTTAAAACGTTGAAAGGGGAAATAAAAAATACATATTGGTTCTAAATTACAGAGCCTGCTTCAGCTAATACTACCTGTTCCACCCTAGACTTATGTGTAAGCGCAAAGAAAAGCTAAAAAACCAAGTAAAGGTTTCCTGGGAAGAGTAGACAATTGATATCAAGAAAATGCAGTTGATTATGCCCCTCAAAATGTGAACCATCTTGAATATTCAAAAATGGTGCTATGTGGCTCTAAAGTATTAACTCTTAAGAACCAAATATCCTAGCAATATGATCAGCATAGAAAAAATGTTTGAAATAATTAAAACCATCAACTATTTCATTATTCCCATGACATTGTAATATCAATAGAGACTTTACCAGTATCAAGTCTATAGCCTTGCGTTTCTGCCAATATTTATTCAGATGCCCATGGTGCAAATCTTAACTCACTTATTTAAGCTGTATCGACACTTTTAGAGTTGATTTATTGAATCCTTTCCTCAATTAGATTCTCTCAGATGTCACCCTTAGCAGTCCAGATTGCTCCATTGCATTCTGCTTTTGATGTTCTTATCCTCTACTTTTAACACTGGATATTATTTTACAGTCTCGTGAACCAGCAAACGTCATGCTCTTTTGTTTGAATAGATCATTTTCTTTGCTGTATGGAAAAGAACCAGTATATATATGTATTTCACACCATAGATATTCTCTATCTGTGTCAAATGAGTTGCTAAGAAGGGAGACATCAAAATTCAATGAATTTGATCCTATGTTCTACCTTGCTTTAGCCACATCTTGTAGTGATTCAACTTTCATATCATTCTAGAAAATGTTACTGGTATGGAGATTAATCATTTCTTCTTTTGTTCCAGTTTTTGTGGGAACTGAAATTTTATGTCTTTCATTCCAGTTGTATACAGTTTATTATTACATCAGTCTGTTTGTTTGTCATCTGTCTTAGAATGTTCTTCTTCTTTTTGAAATTAATGTAAGTTTTTGTGTCACTTTCTCTGCTTGATTAGGATCCGTACGAATGCCGGCTGCTCTCTGCGGTGTTGTTGGTCTCAAGCCAACATTTGGACGTGTACCACACTCGGGGTATTTTCTATTTATCATATCTGTTGACCTCATCAATTTCTCAGAAAATTTGGTTTCATGATAGTTGATCCAAAATGTGATTTCAGTGTTCTCCCTCTGAACTGGACAGTTGGGATGGTTGGGATACTAACTGGTACAATTGAAGATGCACTTATAGTGTTAGTAATCTTAATCTCCTCTTTCCAAGTCAGATTACATTCACTCCCATGAACACTTTCTTTTTTTTTTTAAATGACTTTGAATGCCAATTTACAATTTCCAGGTATGGAGCTATCAGTGGCCCAATATCATCAGATCAATCTGCTCAAGTAATGGTATGTGGAGATATTACTTCACATTCAGACGCGGAGGTTAAGCTCTGCATTGTTTTCTGATTCGCAACAAGTTTGTTAATTCAGCAAAACAAGTGACCATTTGATGGACAATTTAGTCAGATCAACTGAATTTTGACCTTTTTGGTTCTTCTTTCTTTTGGAGAATGTACCAGTCTAAAGTATGTTTTCCATTACTTAAGGCACCAGAGTGCAGATCTGACATCAAACTGGCAAAATATGGAGAGGTTTGTTTTCCACGAATTTTATTAACAGTAGATCAATTTTTTTTCTGTCTTAAGGTGGATGTTACTTTTATAAATTATCTTCCACATCCAGAAGTCATGATTAATTGCTTATGTTATTACTCATGGTTTCTTGATTTAGTGGTTCAATGACTGCACTGATGACATAAGAGTCTGCTGTTCAAATGCTTTGGCCAAATTATTTGATGTCTATGGTTGGAAGGTACTGATAATGCACTGCTCTTTACATAAGTGTGAGTGTTTATTATGCTTGCATATAAAGGCGCTCAATCTTTCATACTCTACATTATCTTTCTTCCAAAGACTTCTACAAATGATTCCAATGTATCCCATATGAAATCACAGATGAAGAGTTGATATATCATAAAGCCGCTACTGTTTTCTTCATATTTGATCATATTAATTTCAGAGTTTAAATGCTAGCTTCCTGACATATTCAAGCTTTCTTCTCTGCCAGACGATAGAGGTTACCATGCCAGAGATAGAGGTGATGCGTCTAGCACATTACCTGACCATTGGCTCTGAATGTAGTACCTCAATTGCTTGTCATCTGGAAAAGTTGTACGTATTTTCAATTATTAATATGCCATTTGTATCACTACTCATTTGATATAATGCTAAATATGCAAGGCTGACTTTTGGGATCAATCCTATCAGGGATATGGCAGAATTGGGATGGGATGCTAGGGTAGCACTTTCCGTCTATGGTGCCTTCAACAGCAGGGAGTACTTGAACGCCCAGATGATTAGGTAATCCAACCTTACTGTTTAAATCTAAATTGGATGATAACTGTTATTCATATCATCAAAATTGTTTAATAATAGATGAGCATGTTACCAAATTTTTTTAGACTCATTGTGAAGATTTATGCTTCTTAATCTATCAAAATCCTGAAAAGCCAATAGGCATGTTTTGTGTCAGCTTCCCTCCTACGGTATCAAGGTCTTTAGTGGCTGCAAAAATTCTTTCTTTAAGAGGTATCAGACCTTGACTAGAATGGAATATCCTAATAGTTGTGGAATTTTGAGCTTATAAAACCTGTGGTAATTTTTCTTTTATCATAGATTTAGCCTGACTATGAAAAAAGTAGGGGTTTATCACTTTAATGTTCAACCTGCCTGGTCATACCTTATGTCTCTAAGTTAAGATAGATTAAGAAGATGATGTTATGATAGTTTGACAATAAAGAGAAAGGCTCCTTATTAAGGTTGAAAAAAATGTATCTGCAGTACACTCAGATATTGAGGATAAGCAGTTGAACTAACTTAAGCAATCCCCTGTTGCTAGCTCTTCTTGTTTTGTTGGTGGTGTTGGTCCCGTGCTGGTTGATAAAGCAATTTGAAGCATTGTGTAAATTATAGCAAGACTATGTTCTAGTGATTGTTTAGTTGATCAAATAAACAAGGTTAAATTTTTTGAATTATAGAAAGCAAATTTTGTTAACATCAAATAGATCCTAGTAGTCAGATTATATAAAGGTAACTGAATGGAAGGAAGACTAGTTATAAAATCCAAATCAGTCATTCTCTTGGGGTGTGACTGACTGATACTTGAATAGCATATCATATGGAGCATGAAACAGTTCATATTGTTTTAGCTTTTTTGGAATAATTTGAACTGTGGATTTCAAACAATATTGCTTTTCCGGACAGATTCAATCAGGAAAACAATTGGAACACACTCTGCAGTATATGTTAAAGCAAATCACTCCATTACTATAGATTTCATAACTTAAGCCAAGAGATATAAATTTATAGAACTACTCTATACAGGGTTTATATTGCAAGTATGAAGAACTACTCTGACTTAAAAAAATGTCAAGTACAAAGATGTCTGTGGATCAAATGTCAGTTGGCAGCTAAGAGGAACTATATATACATTATACATTGTGGTGCATCTTGAATCAGCGAAGTGAATATTCTTCCCAGGAGTGCCATTTAAGTTTCTCAGGGAAAGAGTGTATTTATTCTTGTCCGATACAGTGGAAAGCATTGAACCATGCACTGGAAATGCTATGGTTATGCCCACACAAGTTATTTATGTTCATTCTATGAAAGCATTGTATACCTCATCTAGCTCAACTTGATCACAACTCGTTGCCTGAAAAACCAAAGAAATTATGTCAACGCAGCAGTTCTCTGTTTGAAGTACAGCTCAGATCAACTGCATGTTGTTTTATTTTTATTTTTTCACAAAATCAATTCTAGAGTGATGAAATATCATTGATGTCTTCTTCCATAGAGGAACATGATTTCTTACGTGCTCTAATAATGTGGTTATAAAGTGGCGTACAGTAAATGTGGTAACTAGCCTTGCTGAATGTAGATTTGAAGGCTTGCCATGAATTTATACTGTGATCTTGTTCAGCAGCCTTGTGCAGTAAAAAATCATAAATGCCTTTGCCTGTTCATTGGGTGTATTTGATCCCTCCCTCTTCTTCTTTCACATGCCAGCTATCTTCAAGATAAAATCCCATTTTTCTATCTAGACTAAACCTTTTCAGTTTCTTGCGAACCATGTGCTCCTGGATAACTCTGTGGTACTAACGGCTTCCATCTGTCATTGTGCCCTATTAGAGATTGTCTTCAGAGAAGCACAAACACATTAGACTACCAGACTGATGATTTAACAGTCTGGAAACTTCTGCCATCTTTCAAAATTGACTTTACGAATGGAATTGGTGGCAGAGTAACACCATTAGGATCCCGTTGCTAGGTAGGCATTTCACAAAATTTGACCGACAAGATATCAGACAATAGGCTCTATTTGTTGCAGATAACATGGTGCAGTGAAACTATTGCCCACAATCTTTGGAAATTGTCGGATGTATATTATTTTTCCTTTTTGAAACATGCTTACCCTATAAATCACATTGGAAAGGAGGAAATGGACACATAGGATTAAAGCAGATAATTGAAGTGTACTTGGAAAAATCATGGACTCTGACAAATCCTCAACATGTTGACACAGATTTTGACCCTTTGTTCTTTTAGTTGTAAACTACGCTTTCCACAACATTATTCTTGGTTGAACCTATAAAATCCTTTTAAGGACTGCTTCTTGAGGATTTCAGTTTGTTCCCACTTCCCAATTCAGTCTTGTTCTTAAAACTAGTCTCTTTTAGGCTATTTGCTCTTGCCCATGCTCTTTCATAACCAAGAGGTATCCACTCCTGTCAAGGAGCTTCCCTTGTTCCTTCCTGGACTAGTGTTTCTTGTGGTACATAAACAAGCTTGTCACTAGATAATGCTTTGTTAGACAGATCAGGAAATGTAGAGTCAAACCTCTAATTGACATATTTATTCACCTTATAAAGCTTTAATTTTCGGTGAACCTTGAATTCAACTAAAATGTAAGTCCCTTTACTGTACTTTAATTTTTTCCCCAATAGGATTCGTCTAGTTCTTAGGACCTATTCCTTCTTGTTTGCTGGAGTTTCAGAATAATTCATCTGCCTTTCACCATGTAGCAAGAGATCTATGTTTGTAACATTTAGGCAAAATTTTTGCTCAGGCTCCCATGGGAAAAAAGCGGTAGCCCATAATAATAGATACTTGCGAGTGACTATTTAAAGTATTTGTACTGAATTGTCTTTCACTATCTACAGGAACCGGCAGCTGCAGTTTTACATGAAAATATTTGCCAAGGCAGATGTCATAGTTACACCGACAACTGGGTACATTTTTCATTTGAAAAGAAGCTATGCTCTTTTTTGTTTCTAAGCAGCTAATTATGCAGATATAAAAGAAGAAGTTTTTGTGCTAAAATTCTTATGACTTCCATATTATCTATGTACATGTCCTTCAACATCCATTCATCTGGCAGTGTAACAGCATATCCAATAAAGGATGATGTTTTGAAGACTGGAGAGTTGGATTACATAAATGGAGGTTTGAAGTGACTGACTTACACTTGAATCCAATTTCTTTGTTATGTTTCGTTATTTGATCATCCATTTTGCATTCTTACTACTGTAATAGGCATGAATTGGCTAATTTTCTATCCAAAAAAGAAAAGGGGGCAGAAATCTTATCTTGGACTTTATCATTTCAGCCGCACTAGTTCGATATCAGATAGCAGGGAACTTCTTGGGATTGCCTGCAGTGACTGTTCCAGTATGTATTGAAATGTTTTTTTTTGTGCCATCATTCCAAATTCATCAATTCTTCTTTATAGGCATTTCAACAGAGTTTCTTTTGTATAGGTTGGATATGATAAATCAGGACTGCCAATTGGTCTTCAATTTATCGGGAAGCCATGGTCCGAATCTCTGTTAATCCATGTAGCCTTCGCAATGCAAGTAAGATTTCATTCTTATTTTGGTCTAGCATAATGTTGATAAACATTTTCAGCTAAGTTACTTGTGTAAATCGCAGCTCTCTATTTGACGTTTTAAATTCTATTCGTACTTTTCTTGTTCAACAACAGACAATGAATGGTTTTACTACCCCTTGAATGTTCATTTACTCTGAAGTTATGCTCTTTGTAATCATGTGAGACTTTTATTGGTTTTCAGGCACTATGCATATCAGATTACAGAAGGCCAGAAATTTTCTATGATTTGCTAAGCAAGGATTAAGTCAATCTTGACAGAATTCTACATGTACTGGCCTTCTCATTTCCAGGAGATTAACGAAGTATTACCAAGATAAAAGCAGTAAAGGACAGGTTAATTAGTATCTATCTCTTCTAGAGTAAAGGACAGATAAATCAATGTTCTTTGGTATGCCTGTGATATATATGCATTTATTGTGTCCTGTTTTTATACATTTCCAAGTCTTTTTCTTACATGTAATGCTACTTTTTGTCACTGTTTTGAAGTATATCTACCAAATGTTTATCTTAAAACTGGATGGTAATGCGTACTTTATTGAATAGAAATGTGCACTTTAATAAGCAGCAATGTGCATTAACCAAGTAGTGATTATAGGGGCTTCATTTGTTATAAATTCATAATCTTAGAATGTATTATAAGGTGGCTTAAAGGCAATGATTTTTAGAAGAAATTATTAAATCACTAGCCATTTGGATTCATAAAATAAGAATAATAATGGAGTGTCTGAAGCTAAATATGGAGTTCTAATGTCAGTGGCTCATTCTAATTCACCTATTTTCCTCATTTCAAATTCCTAAAACTTGTTAGTTTCAAAAACTCATTTTCCCCAAAAATCCCAATTTCGAGGTTTACTTGAAGATGCATAATGCTCAAGTTCAACAGCCTAATTCCAGTGGGCGATGAAAGACTTGTTCCTTAAAAATTATAAATAGAGAAAAAGAATTTTGAATCAAAATAGAAAAAAAGAAAGAACCCAAATTAGATACCCACTCACTTGTCTCACTTGTCTAGTGCTCACATATTGCCTATGAGGGCAATCATATTAGAGTTCTTGGTCGAAATTTTGGAGATTTCACCCCTAAGAATAATATATGCAATGAGTTTTTTTTTTTTTGATAAAAGCAAATTTCATTAATAGATTGCTAAAAATCATCCAACACGATTTAAACATGCTCTAAAAAATACAGATATGCAATTTTACAGATACAATAAATCTAAAAAATTATCAACAGATTTGAAAAATACAAGAAATTTCACAATTGTCTTCTAATAGATAAATCACTATAGTTACCTTCTGTATATGTTGCAATCGGCAGATGTGTTAATCAATGGTTTTAAACCCTACTTATAATGATGAGATCTGTCAAAATAATAGACTCAGGATCCAAAAAAAAAATTCAGATCTAACAACCAGATTTGAAATAAATTTTGATCTAACAATAAAATAAGAAAAAAAATAAAACTCCATAAGAATCACTAAAAGAATAGAAAATTCTCGCTAGGAATCATAGGAGATGCCGCGCCCCATTTTTTAAAATAAAAATTATGTGTTATAAAAAAATGAATTTTTAAAAAATGAATTTTTTGATTAGTTTTGAGTGTATTGAAAAAATGAGTTTTTGAAAAATAAAAGAAAAGGAGGGCCTAAAATGGGACTTAAAAGTGGGACGATTTTGACCTAAAATAATATTCTAAAAAGGGTCTTTAAAAAAAAAAATAGGAGTTGCCACTTGGTATTGAATTTAGGTATACCAAGTCACCCAAAAACATGTTTTTTAATAAAAAAAAAATAAACAAGGCCCTTTTTAAATGACTTCAGGTCTTCGAAAAATAAGAGAAAAGAATTCGAGAGTCACGGTTGAAGAAAGGGAAGGCAAAGATTTGATCTAAGGCATCCTTTCAACCTAGCCAAACCCAGTTACGTGATTTAGTCAAAAAATTTCTTAATCTAACCTATAAAACTTATCATATTTAGATGTTACTACATCGATGCAAACCTAGACCTAATGGATATCAGAAGGTCGAAATATCTCTTCAGAGTTTAATTGATACAAATCACATTGATTGTGACGCCCAAAATGATCCTTAGAAGAGATCACGAATATGCAAAGATGAGACTCGAAAAAAGGAAGAATAATAAATATACATGACCTAAAGGAGGAGAATGCAACATAACGGGTATGGGGGGATTAAGATTTGTGACTTTAATTTTTCTTTTTTATAGAGAAGATACGAGCGTGCTAAGGTTAAGAAACCATACTCGTCCATTTCCCATATTTGAAGGGTGACTCTCCTAATTTAATCAAACAAATGTGCTAACCTACTTCTATTTTCCTAAATGGAATGCAAGTCTAAATGTTATGTTTCACACATATAGGGAGAATGGAGATAATATATAGAGGAAATATCATGCAAGATGAGAAGAGATCCTAAAAATGAGAAATATGTATGAAATGCGATGAATATCATGCAAAAAGTGTGAATCTAGCGCGGAAACGGCCTAAAGGGTCTAGTATTGGACTATCCCATTTTTACAAATCTTCACTAGCGTTGAACTAGTAAGAAGTCTCGGAGAAAGGCCACAATTGGCGTTGGAGTGGTGTGTTGAAGTCATGCATTTATTATAACTAAATAAATCATATCAAATATAATCAAAACAAGTAAACACATAATGCATGTAGAGCACATAACACATAAGCATAATTTCTAGATGCAAAACCCTAATGAAAGTGAGTAAACACATAAGTACACAAGCATGAAGCATGCAAGCACCCAAGCAAATAAATGCAAATAAGAGCGCCCTAACTACAATCTAAGGGGGGAATTCTAAAAAATAATAACCTAACTATTACATTCATCTAACCAAATACATTTTTAACAAAAACTAAAATCTATCTATTACATAGGCTAGCTAAATACATGTCTTGAACACCTATTTATTACAACTTGGCATTTTAATGCCTCTCAGATAATGATCAAAATTAAATAAAACAAATGAAACTTAAAAATGAATAAGAATGACTAATTAAAAGAAAAAGCACTCAAAACATGCAATTACACATAAAAATACATTGGAGCACATAAAAGAGTTTAAAATAATAAAAGAGATTACCTTCCTTAAAGTGGTGATTAAATGGGGTGAAATTTATCTTATTTATGCACCAACAATCAACAAAATAATCAAGGCATCAATTTAATTATAAAACAAATGGAAATAATCATGAAATTTACCAATTAAAGCACTTGAATGAAGTACAATTAACAATTAAAGAAGAAAAGTAACTTATATTTAAGAAATCAAAACTGCTAGGGACCTAATTGCAAAATTTAAGAAAGTTTTTAGGGTTAAATTATAATTATTAAAAATTAGAGTGTCAAAATGAAAAAAATAAAGTTTAAGGAACTATTTGCAAATAAGTTAGAGACCTAATCAAAAGAAATCGAAAGTTTTTAGGATCATAGTGTAATTACTGAAAAGCCTAGGGACTGATCACAAATTTTGTTACCAGATTACCTGAGCAAATAGGCCTCTAGGCCATGTCTCTTATTTTTTGGGCCAAAACCTACCAAGCCCATCGAAAAGTTCAAGGAAAATGCACAGGCCAATCCATAATCTTACCCAAACAAAACCAACAAAAAAGGATGGGCTTTTACCCCCTAAGCCCAAGCCAAAATCCAAAAATGAACCAGACTTTTCTATCAAAACCCAACCAAATCATTAAATAATTTACCAAAACCTAATAAGATAATAAATCAACTAAAACAAATTAAGGTTTAATTATACCCCAAATCACAGGAATAACATGCTTAGACATGTACTTAAAATATGAAAAAGAGGATTAAAACTCAATAGAGACAAGATTGGTTCAATTACAGAAACATTTGGACTATTTTGTAATTACTTAGAAGTCAGGGGTCAAAATGCAGTTTATAAAAGTTTCATGCAAATCAGAATCGAAGCTTTCTTCATTCCATCTTCTGCAACTTCAGAAGCTTTCTGCAACTTTGCTTCTTCTTTCAACAAACACAACTAATGCCCCCCAACCCAACATCAAAAACTTGGTTTTGTCAAACAGATCATGCAACCATGTTATCGGCACTCAATCTTACTTCGTTCATGTCAAGATTACACCAAAATCAAAACCAGAAGAACACATCAAAGAAGGGACAACAAGAACAACAGTAGCTAACTTTTGACAGGTTTAGTAAGGATCTGAACTCGTGTGAAAGGAAAGGAACAAATAAATTTACCTCCTAACGTTCTATGATGCCAAAATGAACGTGGAATGGTCGAAGAAAATGCCTCTGAAAGCGAGATTTTGCACCACCCAACTCCTGCTGATGAAGGTCCAAGAGCTGGTGACGGGCGGAATGGAGCTGAAATTTGGGGGTAGTGGAGATGATTTTTGGAGAAGTTTTCTAAACAAAAGTTACACTACTACAAGTTTAGATAGTGTAGATGACAAAAGAATGCCTAAACGACTTAGATTAGGGATAGAATTTTGGTAGAAAATTCAACAGCTCTCCAACCCTGGCTCAAGTTCCTCATCATAATTTTCTGCACTTTTTTTTTCTCTTTTCTCCCTCGATTTTCTCTCTTTTCTTGCTGTTGTTTTCTTCGTCAGCCGCCTCCCTCTTTTCTCTTGTTGTTCTAGGGCTGCATCTTATCCTTTTTATAGAGAAATCCAACCTCCAAACCCTCATCTCAAGGGTTGTCATGAAACCCATTTTTGTGGCATTTTTGAGAGCCATTTGATCAAACTTCCAGGTGTCAAAACCCAAGATTAGATATTTAGTACTTGCTTAAACGTGTAGGGCAACGAAATTAGCAACAAAAAGGACCCAAAAATTGCTCAAAAATCTTTGGCCAGCTCTTGTACTGAAAATTCTGGTTCTGGAGCTCGCGTGGGTGAATGCTGAATATATATTACAAAAAAACTGACTTTCATTGATTTTTATTTTCTTTTCTTTCTTTTCTCTTTTTTCTTTTCCTTTTCCTTTTTTTTTATTTTTCTAAAGTGATTTTTCTCAAGAAATAGAAAATAAATAAAAATTTAACTAAAATGAACAAAAATAGTAATAAAATGAAGAAAATAAAATAGTAAAATTTTGGCGTCTACAAGAGAAATAGAAAACTCTCGTTAATAAAATTTAGGAGAGACTATTAGAAAAACAAAATAAACGAAATTCATGGGAGGAAGACCATGGTGTGATCTCCCTACCTAGGGAAGACCTTTGTAAAGAGGAGAAGAAACAGAGAAAAGTTGGAGAAGAGGAGTGGTAAATTAAGAGAAGAGGAAGAGTTGAATATCCTTAACAGTGAACTTTCGAATATTTGAGCACATAATTGACTTGGAAGTTGCACATCTATTGGCATTTGATCACAAAAAAAAAAGCCAATTTCAAAACCAAAAATAAGTTTTGCTACGTTGTCAATGCAACTAAGTTGACTTATTAGAAAATTTAAGGATTAATTTTAAAAACCTCTCGCTTAATCTGAGGTCTCTGACCTGCCTTGAAAATTTGAAA